TTATTAATTTATTTTAAAACATTATTTACTTACACACATATATTCAAATAAATAATTTCTACATGTGTACAAACAGACGCGTTGAATTTTAAATATAAACATGTGATGAAGGAATGAGAACACAAATGAAGGCGATTTGCAAATTATTCCATTACAACAACAACAAAAAAACAACAAAAACAAAGTGAAAATGATATGTAATAACAACAACACGATGATTAAAGGAAAATTCCCATGACCAATTTTTTCCTTCTGCTTCTTAATATATTTTTTTACAAGTTGTGTAATCTTGTGTAGGTTTGCAAAAAGTTATTTTCGGAATTCTCAAATATTGAAGAACAAATAAATAAAGCGCTTACATTTGTATGTCCTCCACCATGAGATGGAATTACAAACTATATAAAATGGTGATTTTAACATGACAGCAATCCCGAGGTAAATTTCAAAGAGCAAAACGAAATACCGAGACTTTTGTATGGGGACTATGTAGAAACATGAACTTGTATTGAAAATGGTTTATAAAGAATTGTTTACCCCAGAAGGTTCCGCAATGCTGAGGCAACTATAAGGGGCTGTAACTCTATATAGGAGCTATACCCGAAGATCGAAAATATTTTAGTAGGAATATTTGAAACCCCACGGTACTGTAAATATTAAATTAGGGAGAACTCAGCTGAAAAAAATTCTGAAACGATAGTGATATTTTTGAGAGTCCAAAATATCAAATTAGTACTAATTCTGTCCAAAATGGGAGGTACCGTTATATTTGGAACTAAACCGAAATGTGGGAAAATATTGATACTTTTTGTAAGGAAGGTTTCCGCCAAATAGGAATTCAAAATATAATTTGGTTTTTAAAATTATCTAATCATCCCATAATACGGACATTATGAAGGCCTCGTTTTATGGGTGCTACTTCGAAACTTGAGAAAATACCGATATTTTTGGGAGATACTTTTATATTGAAAAAATTGGGTAGGATGATTAGCAGCCTAATGATCCAATTTTGCTAATTTTTGATTGAAAACATCCCCAAGCTTCCTGAAACCCGAAATTATGGGGTAATGTTATATGGGAGCTACCCGAAACTGTGGACGGCGATACGCAGATGGGCCCATAGATCTTTCGGAGAATTTTTCTCTCAAACACTCCAAGAGCTGTCTCATCTGTTTGCGCAAGTACCCATGCTTCAGATCCATATAACAGCACGGGTAGTATCAGTGTCTTGTAGAGTGTGAGTTTGGTCTGCTTGTGCAAGTACCCATGCTTCAGATCCATATAACATCACGGTTAGTATCAGCGTCTTGTAGAGTGTGAGTTTGGTCTGGCGGGAGGTGGCCTTGCTTTTGACTTATTTGCTCAGACCATAGTAGCATCTGTTGGTCATCACTATCCTCCTCCGAATTTCAAAACTGATGTCATTCGTTTTGTTTATGGCGGTACCAAGGTATATAAAATCTTTGACTACCTCGAAGCTGTAGTTCTCAAGTTCCACAGTTGGTTCGAGTCTACTGGACGTCTAGCCCGTTGATACCAACAACTTGGTCTTCTCGCCGTTTACTGCCAGACCCCCTTTGGCGGCCTCCTTCTCAATTTGTTCAAAGTTGGCTGTTACCGTTCTCAATGTTCGATCCATTATGTCAATGTCATCGGCGTAGGCGAGTAACATGAGTTGTTTGGTGTACAGAGTATCATTTCTGTTCACTTTTGCCTCTCGTATGACCTTTTCCGCAGGATGTTAAAAAGATCACACGACAAACTGTCACCTTGACTGAATCCTCGTTCGGTATTAAGGTGCTCCGAGAGGTCCTTTCCGACTTTAACTGCTTGTACCTTTTAAAGTTATCCTGCATAGCCGAATTAATATTGCAGGAATGCCAAACGCAGACATGGCTTTATACACCTCTGAACGGATAGGGCTTTGCGGCTTTGTAGTCGACGAATAGATGGAATGGGTCAATGTGGTTTTCGTGGTTTTTTTCCAGGATTTAACGCAGAGTGAAAAACTGGTCGATGGTGGATTTGCCAGGTCTGAAGCCGCATCGGTATGGTCCAATAATGTCATTGACCATTGGCTTCAGTCGTTCACACAGTACGCTGGATAGCACTTTATATGCGATGGGAAGGAGACTTATTCCTCTATAGTTGGCACATATCGCCTTTTCTCCTTTTTTGTGCGCGGGACATAGGATGCTGAGGTTCCAATCATTGGTCATGCATTCTTCTAGCCATATTGTACTAATCAGATGGTCCATGTTCCTTAACAGCATCTGACCACCAGTCTTGAATAGTTCGGCTTGTAACCCATCGGCACCTGCTGCTTTTTTATTCTTCGGCCGATTGATTGCTATTCTGACTTCATCTTGGCTAGGTGGTATACACTTTATACCGTCATCTATTATTGGTTCTGGGGTATCCTCTTTACCGCTACTATTTTATACCAGATTTTTTTCAAAATGCTCCTTCCAGATCATCAGCACGCTGTCTGTATCTGTCACCAGGTTTCCTTCTTCATCTCTACAGAAGGATGTGCCTGCACCAAAGTCTTCGGTTTGGTGTTTTACCCGTTGGTAGAATTCACTTCATTCTGACTCCTGTACATATCGATTTGCTCACGCAAATCTTGTTCTTTCTTCTTTTTTCTGAAAATATGTTTCTCCTCTCTCCTTTTCTCCCGATAGTTCTCCATCGCATTACGTGTTGCCGCAGGGTTGCCCTATACGCTGCGTTTTTCATATCAGTAGCGTTACGACACTCCTGATCGTACCGCGGATTTCTTTATGGTGGTCATTGGTACCCAAGTGTTGCTTTTGCTGCAGTTTGTAGGGAGTGGGCAATCCTCTGCCACTGTGCTTCTATATTATTATCGGGACAAGGGGTGCTTTCGTCAAGCAGTTGGGTAAGTTGAGCGGAGTAGACTTCTGCTATCTGTTGTGTTTGCAGCTTTTCGACGTTAAATTTCCGTGTTACATTAGATCGCACCTTTGCTGCTAAATTAAGACGGGTGCTTACCTTGGCTGCCACAAGGTAATGGTCCAAATCGATATTAGCTCCTCCGATCGATCGGACGTCTAAAACACTGGATGAATGCCTTCCGTCTATCACAACATGATCTACAATGTTTTTTGCTGCCGCGAAGTCAATCAATCAAGATATTTTCCCTTCCGATTTTTGCATTAAAAACTCCTAGCATAATTTTAATGTCATGGCCAGGGCAAAATATGTGTTTGGTCTGTTCATCTTTGTCTTCGGTCGGAGCATGGGCGCAAATGAGACTGATGTAGAAGAACTTCGCTTTTATACTGATTATAGCAATTCGCTCATCTACTGGATTGAATCTGGAGACGAGGTCTTTTATTCTACTGTTAACCATAAATCCGCAGCCAAATTCATGTCTCGTTTCATGGCAGCTATAATACAGGGCGTAATCATCTGATTTACTTACGCCTGTCCCTTTCCATCGCATTTCCTGTAAGGCAATAATATCGGCTTTGTACTTCTTGAGTACATCCGCCAAAGCGAACACTGCGCCTGTTCTGTACAACGTGCGCACATTCCAAGTGCAGATTCGCAGATCGTGGTCCTTTATACGTTTGCGGGTGTCGTCAACATTAGGGGGGTTTGGTTTTCTTTTTCTTTGCTTTTTATGTTTTAAAAATATTTGTTATCATAGATGAACCTTAAATAATAAAAATACACTTTTATTTGCAAACTCTTAAAAATTTAAAAAATCCACGCCTCAGAAAAAATTAAAATAATATAAAAAATCTTGAACCACTAATACTAATATACTTAAAATGCATTGCTTCCAGCTGTAATAATTCTTCTGCAAATGTGTTTAAAATAATAAAATTGTTTTTTAACAAATCCCGCTTATAGCTCCGTTAGCTCCCTCCAAAAAAATTATTTAACAAAAATTAAATCCGAATCCGAAACTTATACCCTCATGTCTCTGAATCATTTCAGATGGTGTTCATCAGGAAAAAATCTGCCATCAACAGAAAATCTACTCAGCCCACTTTGTCAATTCTAATGGCTGGCCTCCCAATTATTCTCTCAATAGTCGTTGTTATTATGCCAGGATCGTTGCAGGCAAATCCCCTATCGCCACGGTTCAATAGTTCGGATATTGATTTTAAACGTTATTGTGGTCGTTCCATTACGGATCTAATGCTACTTATATGTGGTGACAGTGTTCGCTCAGAGTGTAAGTTTTTTATGTTTAGGTTTCCTTCCATCTGATAGAAATTGATGTTTTTCTCACTTCTCTTTCTCTCTCTCTCTCTCTCTCTCTTGTTTTTCACAGCTGATACGACAGGATCTAATTCACTTAACTTGCGTAATGAAGTCACGGACACAGGGTCAATAGCCAGTTCAGGTTCCATATATGATTGTTGTAGACATCCATGCGGTTATGCCCAGTTAAAATTGTATTGTCGAGGAGGAGAGTGAAGGGAAATATTAATCGTGGCAGGAAATATGGGAGATGGCAGTCCATAGACAATTTAAATGTATCTTCTTAGCTTTATAAACGAATATTTTTTATTTATATACCAAATGAGTAACCTATGATCTTCATATTAGTTTGTAATAATTATTTTTTAATACGACTTTAAATAAATCGAAATTAAAATAAAACAATTAAAACATATTTTTTAAAAAATCCACGGTTATAGGGAGGGACTCCTAAAAACAATTTTAATTAATTTTTTTTAATATATTTTTAAAAAATCCGCGGCACCCTTAAAAAATATTTTTCTAAAAGTCCACATTTCTCAGGTATAAAAAAATCAACGCTTCGCTCAAAAATATTTAAAAACATCCACTCCCACCCCTGAAAAACAATATTTAAAAAATTGACTTATAGAAAGATTTTAAAAATAATTTTTAAAAAATCCACGCTTGTAAAGGGACCCATGAAAAATAATTTTTAAAAAATATTTTTATAAATTATTATAAATATCTAATAAAAATATTTTTGTCTTTACTTTTCTTTCCAGATGACGTTTTCTCAATGTATAATCTCATCGCGTGCGTTAAGTTCATCAACAATCGCGCTCTTAGTCATAATAAGCTTCATTGTGATAATTACCCTGCCAACACCTGCCCGCACACAGCCGCTGACGACACAGTCACGACACGTACCGCATCAGCGTTATTGCAGTACATCGTTATTTGAAGCCATCCGGACGATTTGTAACGGACGTTACAATTCGCTGTCAAATGTTTATCGTAAGTTTTCACATCGCAACAGCAACAACAACAAATATTTCAAATACAACATTTTCCAATTTCCATTACAGCTGAAAGTTTTGGCAATCAGAATCGTGCCAGTCTTTTGAGGCGTTTATTACCCGATGACGATGTCATTTATAGGCCCTCATTCGGTGGTCCAGTCCATGAATGTTGTCGTCGTCCCTGTGGCTATTCCGAACTGCAGTCATATTGTGCAGACTAAACATTTTTAGTGTTAGAACCCTCTTCATCTTCTTCACCGCCATCATCATCATTTGACATATTTTGTATTACATTGTCACTGTCACCTTATATCCTCTACTTCATTGTGTCACTTCTCATTTAGGCTGTTTAGATATTAAGTTTTAAAATATTTAAGTTGTAAAACAAAACTCTCTTTGTTAATATTTCTCTATGTCTATGTCTGTATGTATGTTTCTTTTTTATTAATTAATTAGTTTTTGTCTGTGTCTTGTCGCGACGTTTGCTATTTTTCGTCAATATTTGTCTGTTTATATATTTTTTTTTAATTTTGTATAATTTTTATTTTTAGCAAAATGTTGTTAGCAAATTTTTATTTTACAAAAAATAATATTCTTATAAAAAACGAAAAGAATAAAAATTTGATTGAAAAAAATCTTAAGAAAATGTAAGAGGTTTTATTTTGACTTTTTAAGCAAAAAAAAAAAAAAAAACAAAATATGGACCCTTTAGAAATATTTAAAAATATCGACGATTATAGAAGGACTAAATCCACGCTTATAGAAGAACCCTTAAAAATATTTTTTATAAATCCACGCTTATAGAAGAACCCTTACAAATATTTTTTATAAATCCACGCTTATAGAAGAACCCTTAAAAATTTTTTTTATAAATCCACGCTTATAGAAGAACCCTTAAAAATATTTTTTATAAATCCACGCTTATAGAAGAACCCTTAAAAATATTTTTTATAAATCCACGCTTATAAAAGAACCCTTAAAAATATTTTTTATAAATCCTCGCTTATAGAAGAATCCTTAAAAATATTTTTTATAAATCCACGCTTATAGAAGAACCCTTAAAAATATTTTTTATAAATCCACGCTTATAGAAGAACCCTTAAAAATATTTTTTATAAATCCACGCTTATAGAAGAACCCTTAAAAATATTTTTTATAAATCCACGCTTATAGAAGATCCCTTAAAAATATTTTTTTATAAATCCACGCTTATAGAAGAACCCTTAAAAAATTTTTTATAAATCCACGCTTATAGAAGATCCCTTAAAAATATTTTTTATAAATCCACGCTTATAGAAGAACCCTTAAAATATTTTTTATAAATCCACGCTTATAGAAGATCCCTTAAAAATATTTTTTATAAATCCACGCTTATAGAAGAACCCTTAAAAATATTTTTTATAAATCCACGCTTATAGAAGGACCCTTAAAAATATTTTTTATAAATCCACGCTTATAGAAGGACCCTGAAAAATATTTTGTAATAAACCTACGCTTATTGTAGGACCTTTGGATTTTTTTAAAATCGACGCTTATTAAAGGACCCTTCACAGATATTTTTAAACCAGTAAGGAAAGTAGTAAAGTCGGGCTGTACCGACTATATGATACCCTTCAAAACTTCAGGTACATTGTATTGTGCATCTCAATGTTGCCTCGAAGGAGCATACTTATGTCTTTCTGCAACCAATGATAAATTTAACTTCATTCGGGCAGATTTAGAGTCGTCTGCGCACCATGGGACAAATTTATGGAAAATGATTTATAGCAAAATTGATACACGCTATTCGGCAAGCCGCACTGTTCAAAATTTAATTTCAATCAGACACCCGTTCGAAATACATATGGAAGCTATGGCTGCATCGATGCACAAAACGCATCGAATCTGAACCGATTTTTCCGAAACTTACCACACACATCATTCTAGGCTCAATTCATTCAGCTATGCCAAATTTCGTGCAAATCGAAAGATACATAGGGACTTTGTTGTAGCATTTATATTAAATCGGACGAAAATATATATGGGAGCTATACCTAAATCTAAACCGATTTTCACGAATCTTAACACTCTCCATTCTACACTCAATTCATTACTCAATCCCAAATTTCGTGCAAATCAAAGGTTATAAATGACTTTGGTACACCATTTAGCTAAAATCGGACGAAAATATATGTGGGAGCTATATCGAACTCTGTACCAATTTTTCCGAAACTTACCACACATCATTGCAGACTCAATTCAGTACGCTATGCAAAATTTCGTGCAAATCGAAGTATATATAGAGACTTTGGTGCACTATTTACCTAAAATCGGATGAAAATATATATGGGGCTATATCTAAATCGGAACCGATTTTCAAGATATTTAACATACATCGTTCTAGAATTATTTCAGTACGCTATGCCAAATTTCGTTAAATCGAAAGATTCATAGGGACTTTGGTGCACCATTTACATAAAATCGGACAAAAATATATATGAGAGCTATATCGAAATCTGAACCATTTTTTCCCAAAACTTACCACACATCATTGCAGACTCAATTCAGTATGCTATGCAAAATTTCGTGCAAATCAAGGGTTATAAATGACTTTGGTGCACCATTTACCTAAAATCGGACGAAAATAAATGTCTAAATTGGAACCGATTTTCAAAGAATTTAACACACATCGTTCCAGAGCGCTCGCGTGGCGTGTTTTGGTTCATGGTAAAAATCTGCTTGCACTGACTCTTCAAACGCGGTATGTCATTAAGCGATGTGACATCTCTGTCAAAAGTTATGGCGTTGCCAGATGGGTCCGTCGAATATGGGCAACCCCGTAAATCTGACCCTATTTTTCCCAATTTCAATAGGGTTCGTCCTTGGGCCAATAAATGAGCTGTGCCAAATTTCATCCAATTCGAGTCAAAAATACGACCTGTACTTTGTTTACAATTTAACATGGACCGACGGACGGACGGGCATAAATCGACTTAAAAAGTGATTCTCAAAAGGAACCATATGTCTATCTCGTTTCCTTTTGCCTGTTACAAACATATGCACAAAGACATAATAGCCTGTACATAAAAAATCCACCCTTATTGTTGGTCCCCTAAAAAGTATTTACAAAATCCACGTTTTTAAAGGACCCTTAAAAGATATTTTTAAAAAATCCACGCTTCTAGAAGGACCCTTAAAATATATTTAATAATTCCTATTTTTAAATATTTACAGGAACACTTCATTTCAAATATTATCTGTCAATTTTTAAATTTATTTATTAATCCAAAATAATGCATCGTTGGTTCTTTGCCAATGAGGAACAAATTTGCCGGAAATTTACCGCCGAAACACCACCAATATCTGAACCAGAACCTAATATATCCTCAATAGATGAAATACCAATTACAGAATGGAAATTTACTGTAAAATACAAAGGAAAATTGTGTTCCAACGAAATAATGGCCATAACGGGAAATATAGAAATTTTGGGGAAGTGGCAACTACAACAATGTGTACCAATGGTACAGATGGAAGAAACTCCCGGTTTGTGGTCTTTGACCCTCAGTTTACCACGAAAGTCCTCCGACTTTATTTATTACCGATATTTAATATGTGCCCTGAATGAGAGAGGTCGTAAGCTGCTACGTTTTTGGGAGACCCATAAAAATGGACGTTTGATTGGAATCGACGATATCCAGGAATTAGAAACAATGGATTATGATCGGTTTGGTATATATAAGGGTGTGTATCAAGTCCAGCGTGGTTGGTTAGCCTGTTCGGATGTTACGGTGCTACAATTTCGTTTTCAAAAGGCTCCCTTTGTTTTGAGAGAGCAGCTGGGAGAGAATTCGATGTATTTAAAACTAAGCCTATTGAAGATGAAGACCAAGGGTGAGGAAGGCGAGCAATCATCTTCATCTAAACTGAGTTGCAATTTATCACAACATTCCGCAAACCAAAAAGAGAGATTTGAGCAAAGTTCCTCCAAACCTTGGGCATTTTGTGAGGTGTCCAATTTGTGCGGTGAAGCTAAAAATACTTTACATTACCAACCAAAATATGGCACCAGCTGTGGTCCCAAGGATATTTTACTTTTCCACATGACCTTGGAGGATATCAGCAACACGGCTTTTCTAATTGATTTGTATAGATATCCTGCCAAGGCCTCTGAGGATATACCACCCTATCATTATGGCTATCAACATGTTCTACCACAACAATTGAAAAATTCCGAAGGTACTCTCACCCTCAACATTATGTGTGCTACTAAACATCGTCCAATTGGTAGCATGACCTTGGAATATTTGATTATAAAACCTCTCTATAGTTACGATTTTAATCTACAGCAAACTTTCCAAATTCCATGGAAGAAGAAAAAATCTCCATTAGTTATTGGCCATAGGGGATGTGGAAAAAGTTTTTGGCATCAGGGAGATATTTTACGGGAAAATACGTTGAAATCTTTTGGCAAGGCCTATGAACATGGTGCAGATATTACTGAATTGGATGTGCAACTGAGTCAGGATAAAACACCAGTTGTCTATCATGATTTTCAATTGTATATCTCCCGAAAAGAAGATTTAGATCGCCAGGAATTTGATGTAATAAAATTACAATTGGAGGAAGATGAAATCAATTTCCTAAAACCATTTGCAAGAACTCTGAAATCGGGTCTCATAGGAATACCTTTGAATAAATTTCATTATCAGCAATTAAAAGAGGTCCGGATTCATGAAACTTCTTTGGATATGCCCTCCACATCATCAGCATCATCATCTTCCGAGTCTCCATGTCCCAAAGATAATACCCTAAATTTACCCTTCCCCAGTCTTCAAAATATCCTCAAGAAATTGCCCGCAAAACTGGGATTCCTCTTGGATATTAAATGGCCTCAAAGGCTTCGAACCAATAACCACTACGAAGACAACTTCTCTCCCGATTTGGATAAAAACGAATATGTAGATATTATTTTGGATATTGTCGTTCGTCAGGCTGGCAATCGACGAATTATATTTTCATCTTTTGATCCGGATATTTGTTCGATGCTACGATTTAAACAAAATCGTTATCCTGTCATGTTTACTATACAGCACTCTCAACCAAATCAAATGAAATATTTAGATCCTCGTGGTGATACGTTATCCATTGCTTCATATTTTGTCCAGGCAATAGAGTTATGGGGTGTTATTGCCGGAGCAGAGGATATTTTGGAACACCAGCAGGAAATTCAAAATCTGCACAAACGAAATACTCACATCTTTGCTTGGGGTGATTCTGCTCGTTCCGAACAATGTCGTAGATATTTGAAGGCGGCCGATGTGGATGGTATAATTTTTGATCGAATTAATCATGCGACAAGTGAAGAGGATTTGAAACAGACAATTGTCTTAATTGAAATGAAACAAAATTATAAGAAAATGCCATTGCGAAAATAATGGGAATAAATAGTATTTAAAATAATAAGGGTCCATCAATACGTGTGGATTTTTATACCCTTCACCACATTGTGGTACAGGGTATTATGTCTTTGTGCATATGTTTGTAACACATGGTTTTTTTTTGAGAATATTCATAGAATCACTTTCTGAGTCGATTTATGTCTGTCCATCTTAAATTGTAAACAAAGTACAAGTCGCATTTATGATCCGAATTGGATGAAATTTGGCATAGGTCACTTATTCGGTCCAAGGACGAACCCTATCGAAATTGGGAAAAATCGGTTCAGATTTAGATATAGCTCCCATATATATCATCGTTCGATTTAAGGTGAATGGTGTACCAAAGTCCTATATATCTTCCGATTTGCACGAAATTTAACATATCGTACTGAATAAGGTCTAGAATGATTTGTGTTAAGTTTCCTGGAAATCGGTCCAGATTTAGATATGGCTCCCATATATATTTTCGTCCGATTTAAGGCAAATTGTGTACTAAAATCTCTATATATCTTTCGATTAGCACGAAATGTGGCACAGCGTAATGAATTTTGTCTAAAATGATGTATGTTAAGTTTTGTGAAAATCGGTTCAAATTTAGATATAGCTCCCATATATATTTTCGTCCGATTTAAGGTAAATGGTGCACCAAAGTCCCTATATATCTTTCGATTGGCACGGAATTTGGCATATTGTACTGAATTATATCTAGAATGATTTCGTTTTGTAAGTTTTGTGAAAATCGGTTCAAATTTAGATATAGCTCCCATATATATTTTCGTCCGATTTAAGGTAAATGGTGCACCAAAGTCCCTATATATCTTTCGATTGGCGCGGAATTTGGCATATTGTACTGAATTATATCTAGAATGATTTGTGTTAAGATTCCTGAAAATCGGTCCAGATATAGATATAGCTCCCATATATATTTTCGTCCGATTTAAGGCAAATTGTGTACCAAAGTCCCTATATTTCTTCCGATTTGCACGAAATTTGGCATAGCGTAATGAATTAGGTCTAATATGATGTATGTTAAGTTTTGTGAAAATCGGTTCAGATTTAGATATAGCTCCTATATATATCTTCGTTCGATTTAAGGTGAATGGTGTACCAAAGTCCCTATATATATTTCGATTAGCGAAAATTTTGCACAGCGTACTGAAGATACGTGCGGCAAGTTTGTTTTTTTTTTTTTTTTTGAAATCGGTTCATATTTAGATATAGCTCCTATATATAGTTTCGTCAGATTTTAAGTAAAAGGAGGACAAAAGACCCAAAGTTAGGCCGTTTGGTACCAAGTTTTGCACAACGTACTGAAGATAGTATTGCCTAACGTTTGCCAAGTAGAAATCGGTTCCGAATTTTCCCATTTATAGTTTCGTACGATTTTAAGTAAATGGTACACCAAAGGCCCAAAGTTAGGCTTATTTACACAATATTTTGCACAACGTACTGAAGTTAATATAACCTAGCATGTGGAAATTTTTGTTGAAATCGGCTCAAATTTGGATATAGCTACCATATATATTTTCTCCCGGCTTTAAGTAAATGATGCACTAAGAACTCAACATGTGGCCGATAGCACAAAACATACTGAAATCGATTTAGATTTCGATAAAGCTTATATATATTTTCGTCATCATGTTTATCAGATATTTATCCACATAATCAACGGGTGTCCGAATGATATTTGCTTTAAATTGATTTACATAATCAACCGTTGCAAGAAGCAACTCTGTATCTGACCAAATGAAGAATTTAGTATAGGTTGCAAAATGACATGTTTATGCATCCTATTTCATTTTACTGGTCCTTCCAAAATGCGACGTCTGTTAGGATTCATCTGTTGAATATACCCAAAGTGGTGAAGGGTATCATTTAGTCGGCCCCGTCCGACTTTACTACATTCATTACTGGTTTAAAATTATGTTTAAGGTCCACCAATAAGCCTCGATTTTTTATGAATATTCAATGAATTTCATTTATTCAAGCATATTAGTTGGCAACACTTGCGGTTTGTGTCTTAACTAAGCTCTGTATTTATTCCCTGGCATTGTCTCCATTGTGAATTATTCTATTGAACCCTAAGTTACCCTTGGCAACCCTTTAAATTTTCCGCTTATTTTTATGACAATTCCGTTTTGCTTGACAGTTTTCTTTCTGACAAGTGGAGATTAGTCTACTGTCAGATTCCCTGTTAAGATACATCTGCTATTCTATTGTCGGGCGAAGTGAAATGTAAAGGAAAAAAGCAAAACAAAACAGAAAAAATAACAAAGATAAACAGTAATCATTCATTATACCGGTGCAAACATACATTCTCACGCATACACTCCCACACACATTAAAATATTTTAATAATATTATTCGCTCTTTCTCAAATTAAAAAGGTGTTTGTTGTACTCCGATAGAAATGCATTAATTTGCGATATTTATTCTTGGTCATCAATTAATGAACTGATTCTTATCAGAAACGTGACAAAACACACAGTGAATATTATTATTACGTGTTTTTTATTATTAAAAATAAATAAGTAAAAAGGAAAAGTACTTCGGTTCGAACCAACTACCACTGGGTAGTGTTATCAGTACTAGACAAATTTCATTGATGCTTTAAAAAAAATATGGAGCTTATTAAAGCAAAGGCAGTCACTATTAAAAAATAGACAAATTATCTTGTTATTAACTATAAATTAAGTACTTGTGTATAGAATTTGAAGTGTTATTTGTGATTTCCAATGGCAATGTGATTCCTACACATTTGAAACTTATACTAGAGCCCCGACTTGTGTTTTTATACAAAATTCACTGAAATTGAAATATTTGGAACCTATGTAAACGACGATTTTGTCTTGTTTTTTCCAATAAAAAGCAACGCAAATCAGGACGACTCAAGTATTTAAAATTTCAAATTCTTAAAAATCCACATTTGAAACAACTGTAGTTTGAATTTGTTCATAAGGTAGGCATTTTCCATAATTATGGTCATGTATTTTTACTTCGGTGACCTACTAGGTTGATTTACGATTTTGGAACCCCAATGGACCAAAACTCGGTTTTCACCTATATATAACGTTTGAAATGAATTTTTATTAATCGGTACCGTGCTTGAAGTGATCCCCAAAGGGATAACAGACCAAATATTAGGTTTAATATGCCTACCTCTGAAAAGGGTTTTTTAGGATTAGTCCTTGGAAAGTCTACTCTACTTAATTTTTTATACATTTTATATGGACAAATCCAAGCTTTATAGTCCTTGAAAAAATATTCTTTAAAAATCCACGCTTATTGGACTGATGAAAAATACCGAAAATTTGGGGTACCCTTATATGGGAGCTATGGACCTATATTCATAATTTTTTTTAGAGAGATTTGGTACCTATTAGAAACTCAAAATACTAAATTACAGACAATTCAATGGACAAATACGATTAAAACCCCCAAAACACTGAAAATTAGGAGGTACCGGTATATGGGGGGTATCAGAAAAAGTGGACCTATATTTATATTTTTGTGGAGACATTTAGTACCCAATAAGAACCTAATATACCAAATGTCAGCGGTTGAAAAATGCGCTCAAGAACCCCAAAATACCGTGGATCGATATATATCGCATCTTCGAACTTGACCTGCCTGCAGACAAAAGACAAACCTATGCAAACTTTCCGCACCCTATCTATATTCCTTCAGAAGATAGCGTGATTACAAAAGACGGACAAACGTACATGGCTAGATCGTCTTAAACTTTTACCCTGATCAAGAATATATATTTTTTTAGAATCGGAAATTAATATTTCGATGAGTTACTAACGGAATTAATAACCCTCCATACGATGGTGGAGGGTAAAAATATTTCAATAATATTTTTTCCAAATTCCATCCGAATTTCATTCCAATTTCAGTGACCACGTCCATACAACTTTTGTACCGATATCGGAACAAGTTCGCCATCAGAATCGGCAATTTGTTCAGAGATTCGGAAGAAAATGTTTGCTGAGAATATTCTTGAAAAGTTCACACTGATGTTCGGGACGGGCCCTTATATGGGGTTGATGTCAAAACTTGGAACTACATTATAAATAGTCTGTCAAGTATCATTTACACCTTAGACTATGATCTTCAATAGGGATAGACAGTTTCAAAGGTCCACTGAAATTTCTAAAATAGCGCGACACCTTAATTTAAGAGATATGTCAAAACATGAACTTATTTTTAACTTTTTAAGAAAAAGCATTTTATCTAACTAGAACTGGGGATGCAAAAATACGGACACTTCGTTAGGAAAGTGTAGACCATTTTCGACCATTAAAATACCTAAAACAGAGCGGTACCTTTATATCGTGGTTCTGGAATGTTTGAAAATCCAAAATGCCCATTTGGAAATTGAGGCAGGAGTCATCAACATACATATATAAAGATTGGCGGGATTATATCAAAACGTGAATCTATGTGGAACTTTTTCTGTTTTTTACACCTGCAAGAACCGGGAATACCGAATTGAAGAGCTGAAAAGGGGTTTTAATGAAGAGCTGACGGCAATCTTTTCAGAGCTGAAACAGGAAAACTTTAAACACTAGCTGAAGATTTTTTAGAACGATTTTAAACTCAAGAATACATTATAGACGAGTAGAACCTCAGGGCGTTTTTATAGATTAACTGAAGCTTAGGGAGTCTTTGTGGACAATATAGACCACATGAAGTTTTTATAGACGAGCTGAAGTTCTGGGAGGTTTATAGAGCAACTGAAGCTAGAAGAGCCCTTATAGATGAGTTGAAGCTTGGGAGTCTTCATAGACGGCCTTTATAGACGATCTCGAGCTCAAGTGGCCTATAAATACCACCTTAGTCTTTATAGTCGAACTTATGCTTATGGGGTCTTTATAAAGGAACTGAAAAGAGTATAATTTTTTAACGAGCTGAAGCAGGGATTCTGTAGAGGAGTTGAAGCTCAGGGAGTCTCTTTGGATGAACTGAAAAGAAGGAAGTCTGTATAGAGGAGC